ATAATTGTCACATAAATTATATTAAGCAATCACGTAAGCTACCTACATACCAAAATCATGACGATCCGTCAACCGGTTCTTGAGTTATCCCCTTCTGAATATTTTCAAGAATTTATCCCTGCAGTTCCAGAGCAAGCCGCTAGGGGGCCTAAACTCACGTCACTTCTTTCCCAGCACAAGAGCTACCTACCATCTAAATTTCAATACCATAGCATGTCTAGATCATGAGATATCAAAACTGGAAGTTTAGCTGCAGTACCATAATAAGCCGCTAGGGGGTCCAAAATCTAATCATTTTGAGGTCTCATCAAGACCTACCCACCTACCAAGTATCAAGACAATCCATCAAGGCCTTCTCAAGTTATCGTGTTTACAGACAGACACACACACACACAAACACACACATACACGAACGCCCCTGAAAACATAACCTTCTTGGCGAAGGTAAAGATGTTAAATGTATGTTATGTATAGAGCATATTCTTAACATCTAAGTGTCAGAAAAATAACAAAATCATTGTTGTAGTACTTTTCTTTAAAAATGAAACATAATTAGTTTTTGCTGACATTTTACTAATTTCATTTTAAATTTTCACCCAAACAACTTTTTGTGCACCTATTTCCAAAAATGAATTTCAAGCCCTGAAACACAATCCACTTTCAACTCTTCACGGTCCAGAAATCACATGCTCCAAATAGACCAATCAGAAATCAATAATGGTATACATTCCCCCCTGCTCCCCTCATATATTCCAGATGACCAAGCCCAGCTGTATACTCATCATGCACAGCCTCCGAAACTTACTTTTCCCTGGCGAAGACTCCACAGATTTTATGCCAACTCTTTGAAACATGAGACACGTATCTTTTTTTTTTAAATGCCCGTAGCTTCGGAAACCTTTCTAAGAGTAAGCTCACAGCTGCCAAAGGCCATCATTTTGTACAGTTGGTCTGACTGATGCCCCACAAATCTCCTCCCCACTACCTTATAGAACAGACTACCCACCAGCTATGGGCCGTCAGGCATAGGATTAGTAAGAAAAAAAAATGTTGTGTTTCCTGTTTCCCGACCAAGTTTACCCTAGAAAAAACTACCGACCCTAGACTTTTTTTGGGTGGTGGAAATTTAATTTTTCGAGCTGATCAACCTTTTCTATCTCCATGATCTGACACCTGAGTGATAAAACGTTGTACAACTGGTTTTCTAACATTGACATTGAAAATTAAAGTGTCCTTGTACAAATTTTACTTTGTTAAGATGTATAGTACAAATTGGACCCCTATATAGATATCACTGAAGTCTAATTAAAAACAAAAGAAAAAGAAAAGACAATCCCTACCTACCGACCAACATTTTTTCAGGACTGAAACAGGAAACACAACATTTTTTTTCCTAGGCCTCAGTTTGTCAAATTCAGGACAAGTTACAGAAGTGGCCCGAGAGCGCTGCACCTCCATTCAGCAGCTGAATATACACGGAGCGGGGAATAGTGGCCTTATTGTGTCCACTGTGCTGTATAAATGAATCTGGCAAGGACAACCGTTGGGACATTCGGCCAATGGGCCAGGATTAAGCAGTGTCCATCAAAACCTCATTTCATCCATCAACATGTTCCACGGAGCCATTGATGCAGTATGGATGCATACCGGCATTCTTTAAAATCAATAAACCCTTCTAATGTGTCCTGTATAATTGTTCTACAATCCAAGAAAAAAAAACTGTACCCGTAACTGACAGGAAAGATCAGGAACAATGAAGAAAACGGTGAAAAACAGTTCTACTTCTGTGAGATTGTCAGACATTAAACATGTGAAGTCCTGATATTCAAATATTCCACTGGACATGACTTGTAAAGAATACAATTTGACATTATCATTACATGCTTTTGTATCATACTCTAAAAGTAAACAGAAATGTAAAAAAATGAAATAGAAATGTGTAAAATGTACTCAATTACCATTCTTGAAATTTAAGAATCGAACAGTGACTGAGTGACGAACAGTTGAGATGTTTGGGTATAAAAAGATGGTTGGATGGCTAGCCTGAGGGCACTGGACATGTTGTCTTGTGGTATTTGTTTGTCCCATTTGTTATGCATGGAGAAGTTGTAGACCTGAAGCACAATTCCAGGGCTGGAAAGTAAAGGTGGTCCAATGGCCACTGACCACTAAAATGTAGGCTGGGACAACTAAAAAGACACTTTTGGACTTTTTTGGGATAATAGAAAAATAGTCAACATCAGAATGTCAGCGCTTCTTTTGTTTATCAGGCAAACGTCCCGGCTTTTGGATCTGGAAAAGTTCCCCCGAATTTCTTGTCTACTCTGCAATTTTAGTGTGCCTGGGAGTGAACATGAGCAAAATAAAGTTGACTTCAAGTTGTTGTCATACATACTTCCCAAAAAACAGGTTGGGTCAGCTCATCCTCACTTCGTGACAATTGAGATATATTTTTGGGACAGTGCTGGGACAATAGGAAGAAAAGTTCATTTCGAGGCCTGCATTGTCAGACCAGCTTAGATGGGGGAAACCAAAGTAGCAAGCACTGAGGGTGTGACCCTAAGTTCTACTTAAACCTACAATTAAAATACACACTGTGTATGTACAACATGGGCACAACTATGATGAAAACTGGGCATGTTTTTGAAAAGTTTTGAGACAAAAGTTCTAGACCAGGAGCATCACTCCTTTCATTGCCTAGTTGAAAATCTACCAGAAAACTACTTGCAAAATTCAAAATGATTCACATACAGTAGTTACAAGTTTATTCAGTACTTTCTATGTCTTTCTTGGTAACTACTGGTAAATCACACAGTACTTAAACTAACATGACAAAACTGACAAACACACAGGTAAACCAAGTAAACCTCCATATACACATGAGAGGTATCAGAGAAATTTTGTTCCTTATATCAGTAGCAACAACAAGCCTGACCAGCATGTAATTAACTTAAGTATTTCTTGACACAATGAATGAGATGTGGCAATAACTTGCCAGGATCAAAGCTTTAAGTACTTGTATCACTGGACTAAGTAAAGTATCAGACTGTAGCGAATCCTTAGATTCAGGAGGGTTCCAACACAACAGAGGGCAAAGCAGGCACCCTCAACTCAGAGTCAGATGAAGCATGATGCTTTTTCAAGTAGCTTCTAGTGTAAAGTGGCTTTACTACGCATGCAGCTTGCTTTATAGCCAAGCAAACTGGGTAATCTCTATACTTCTAATAAGTGTGTTGGGTTCTTTTATGTGAACTGGTTATCATTAGCTTTAGTCTAAGAAAGAACTACCAGTTGTCCTGATTCTTATGTAGGACTTGCGAGTCTTGGATGTCAAATATTATCAGGACATGGCTCTAATTAACCTTAATTTCTAAACAAAGATAAATGTCAGATCCTGGCCACCCTTTCCCATACATTTGGCTACAACTAATAACATATCATAAGCTGTATAGTTCTTTGTTGAAAATTGCAGTGTGGAAAACAAGTACAAGAGAATGAAGAGAAGAAGCCTTTGAACTTTTTTGTTCCGAACTTTGTGTTAGATAAATTTTGGCCACAGCAAGACCACAGATAGCTAGAGATGTAACTTATGTTTCTGTCTGTAAATATACTTGGCTCCACCATAAATCTAGATGTATACATGTATATGGATGTACAGGTTTTCAAGTGACATAAACATGGTGATACCGGACGTTCTAACATCATGATTGACTCTGGTCTGCAGGGCTTGTAGGGGCAGACTGCTGTGGTAGTAAAGTGACAGTGAAAATTATGCTCCTCCCCGAGGCTGAGGAAATCATTTCATCGTGAATCTTAGATCCGGACGCTGAGTGAACTGGCAAGAGGCGGGGCCACAAGCTTGTAAAAAGGCACAAGTATAAAACTACTAGTTTGATTGGTACATAATTGAGTTAGTCATGGAGTCCGCAGCTCACAAAACATGCAAAAACCAAAAGGAGGTCCTGCAAACGTACCCAATTTTTTTGGGCTGTCAAACAAGAAACAGCTCGATTTTTCTACGCGATATTTCCCTGCAAATCGTAACTTCATCCCGCACTCTAACGCATCAGAACTGTTTGTAAAAGTGTTGTGGTGCTCCGCGGGACAGCGTTAGGCAGGACGGCAATCATGCACCGGGTCTAGCAGAAAACTGATCATCAGCAGGAACCCTCCCCTCTCCCATCACCCGGAGTCTGGCTGCCAAGTCTGGACCGAACCCGACCGAAATGCCCTTCCCCCGGGCCGAACTACGCGCCCAGGACCGGCGAATTTAGCTCACCGGATAGCCGCAACGCACAGGTTTCCCCGTGTGAAGCCACCCGCGGTAGAACAGCGGCGCTTACCTGTTAGGATGCCGACAGTGACCCTGATCTCGGCCTCCCCCTCCTCCAGAGCCGCCATTTTGGCTCCTTCCGTGCAGCCTTCGCCAAATCTCGTGCCAAATCAATGAAACTGATAGATCTCGCGCGCTCTCGCGAGAACTCGCCGGACCATTTCCCAGGCCCGCGAAAAAACGACAACGGATCGCCAAACAACACGAAAGAAAAACCCGCACACGAAGCATACACCTGAAAAAGTGCAAGATTTCTGTCTAAGAAAAATGTAGTTTTCGTCAGATGTATACAATTTTGATCAGGCGTGTTTCCTTTCTGAAATTTCAAGTTTTTTTGCGTGTCTGTGCCGCATGAGCAGTCTCCAAGGAGTTTCAGCTGCCAACAACAACACGAAGTTTGAAGGCATGGCGTGACAAGTGCAATTCTCGGCCTCTAGAGGAGTTTGGCAGGTCCATACATTCTTCTCCTTATTCTTATAGCCTCTCTCGACACTCAGAGACACCAAAGCGCACACAAGTGTGGACGTTTTTAGCTCTATTCGTGTCAGGACAGTGCACCTGCAGCCCACCTGTGAATCCACCTGTTACGCTTTGCACCTGTAAGAGAAAAAGCGTTCGCACAAAGGTGCAGCTACCACTAGCACTGATACCTGTGAACTACTCGTTCCGATTTATGTCCAGGCTATGTAGATATCGATGGATTATGTTATTTTACTTTGTTTCTAAAGAAAAATGTACTTTATTTATTTATTTACTTTAAAGGGGCCTGCGGGAAACGTTTTGCTTTGTTTTGGTGTGAGGGCCGAGGAAAACAATAAGGGGAGACTTGAGCTTACAAAAATAAGTTATGAATTAAAAAAGGATAACATGGGTAGGGTACTTTCTGGTGTAGTACAAGGAACATTTAGGTTTACCTAGAACACCGAGCAGATTATTATTGGAATGAGCAGAGCACTTTGGACTAATGCCTCTGACTATTTACAGCTTAGAGGTACATATCCAATCTTTTGTCACAAACTTCTCTGTTACATAGCGGATCATAATGACCCCCAGCGGGGGTCTTCACGCTTCGTTAAAAATTGAAAAATCTCAAGATTCATTCTAAAGATCTCAATATTTTAGACGAAATCTTGAGATCTTATAAGACAATCTTGAGATTGTTCATGACAATCTCCAGATCTTTCAGAAAATCTTGAGATGAAAACAAAAGGTCTCAAGATCTTTCCAAATGTTTTCAAAGTATCTTGAGATTTTTCCAACGCATCTCGAGAT